CCCCCAACCGGCTCTAGTGATTGATGATGATACCCCTGCGTCACCCCCTCTCAAGTTCAGAAGGAGTGAGGAGAACATATATGATGATTATGATATGGATCCATTGGCAGAGGTCACCCAATCAATTGCCTCTCTCACCATCCACCCCTTCCACCATCTTTCTGGAGTGACTGGTTGCCCTGGTATTGTCAAGATCCATTATTGTTTTCCCTATGCCAACTTTAAGGTGGTCCAAGCTGTCCTTGGTGATAAGAAGGATACTGTAGAGGTGAGCCTGTCAACTAACAATGTTACCAGGGACTGTTTGGAAGGCATAGTTGACCAACATGAGATGGATCATATTGCCATCCCCAAGTCTAACCAACACATACTTGTGATCCCAATTGATCCGAGATACAAGGGCATAAGAGCAGTGACCAAAGACAACCATGGTCGTCGTTGGTGGGGAGTGATAATTGTGGCTGCTTCAAAGTCACTTAACAATGACAAATTGCAAGAGTATTTGCTTGAAAACAAAATTTAATAATAAATAGAATAATTTGAAACAAATGACATCTACCTGGGGTCCACTAAGAACTATACAATTTGCGACCTTGGTCATTCACACAACACCACACACCAATCAATCAATCACACACACTTACCACACCGTTTCAATCAAACAAACTCACACACTCACTCAATCACACACAAACGATCACCCGGCTAACTGATCATTTTGATTCAAAAGTTGTACACATAAACATATACATACATTGTAATAATACATATATTCATTCATCATTCAATATATACACAAGATCACAAGGAACGCGATCACCGTTGCAACAGCAGCAGTATCAACATCAATCAATCAATCTTTACGTCGATCATTCAGTGGACATGGGAGCGCATGCGTCCAAGGATGACCCTTCACAATACATAAACAGCAGTAATAATAATAATAATAGTAATAATAATAATAATATTAGGTAGGTCTTAGTCCAGGTTCACTCTCTCACCAGGTCGGTCTGCCGTCTAACATCAATCAATCAATCAATCATCAAACGAACAGGACAAGCAATGTATTGAGCGAAAAAGAGAGTAGGAAATACAAGAGACATACTATACATCACGATAAGCGAACTACACTAGTCATGACTGGTGCCAATAATGATGTCGCCGCGGATGTCGGCAGTGGCGGCGGTGGAGTTTTGACATCGACTACCACAACGTCCACGCCAAACACAGCGCTGACCACATCATTGCCACTCACAACGACTAATGGCGACAACAACACAATCACATCATCATCGTCATCAACAACTTCAACATCGACCACCAAGCATAACAATAGTTTGAACAACTCATCATCATCTTCCTCAACATCAACATCATCCAAGCAACAACAACAACAACAAGTACAACATAGCAATGGCCTCAAGCCAAGGTTCATGCAACGCAAGATCAACTCAAAGTCAATGAGTATGAGCAGCAGTAGTAGTATTGATGATCATCTTAGTACGAATGGGAGCATGTCGGACTCTTTGGTGTCACTGTCGTCCGGCGTCGGAAGCACTAATTCATCGTTTGCATCAATGTCCATGGAGGACGAGGATGCCGGCGCCAGTCCCGTGCTCACACGAACACGTTCCAAGTCATTCACCATCATCCAGCGCCCCACAAAAGATGGCGCCACCACCACATTCAAGCCAACTGCATCGGACGACTCAAAGATCAACAACAGGAAGTCCAAGTCTGCCAACTCGCTCTTCAAGTCAATCACACACAGGAAGGGCAACAACAGCAGCAGCAGCGGTAGCAGCAACAACAATAAGAAGGATAAGGCACAACCTCCTCCACCTCCACCCCCAACATCACCAGAGCTACACGCCGAGCCAGTGACAATCGTAACAAACATTCCAATCATTGCCGTCACCAACAACAACAATCATCATCATCAACAACAACATAATGTAGTTGCGCAGGTTGAGGAACCTGAGCAACAACAACAACAACAACAACAACAAAGTGCACCAGCCGCCAACAATAAGCCGCCACCACCTCCTAGACGCAAGCCACCTCCCCTGCCACCAAAGAACTATATGGCTACACAATTGGAAGAGCAAAAACAACAACAGCAACAGCAATATGAGGCGGATGAGGAGCAATCCAATGGATATCAAACCAACTTGTTGTACCCACCTCACGAGCCATCGATGCCATCACCAGGCAGTTCACAAAGGAACTCAGTAGAGATACACAAGTTGGAGCATCATAACTACACTCTTCTGGAGAAGATTGGAAGGTAAGTGATCGGAAGTGTGATTGGATTGATTGATTGATTGATAAGTAGTGACTAACTTTGATTGATTGGATGAATAGTGGAACATTTAGCGACGTACATCTGTGCATACACAAGGAGACCAACTTACTTTATGCAATGAAGGTCATCGATAAGTCCTTGGTCCAGATGATTGCCGCACATACTGAGCTGGACATCAACACCGAAGTCAAGATCCTTCACTCCCTATCACATCAACACATCATTGGACTAGTCGATCACTTTGAAACAGACACCTACTATTACATTGTCATGGAGTAGTATGTATATCAACTCATTCAATCAATCAATCAATGATCTTGCGTTGCGTACACTAACTAACCTAACTCTTTGTACGCTTGGCGTAGTCTGGACGGTGGAGAACTGTTGTACCAGCTAGAGAAACAGAATAATGATGATAGTTATGATAATATTGATGGAGGCAACAGTAGTGATGCAGCTGATCCGAGTGCGACGGCGGTCGTAGCCAACTATTCAGAGAGGAGTGCACGTGATATACTGAGACAGATTATCAAGGCTGTTGGATTCCTGCATCAGAACAACATTGTACATAGAGACCTTAAGCCCGAGAACATCCTGTTCAACGACAAGTCTGAGTTTGCCATCCTCAAGATCATCGACTTTGGCCTGGCATCCTTCTGCCACAAGGGCGCACTGGTCGATGTTTGTGGCACGCCAGAGTTCCAAGGTATGTCTGTGATGGATTGATTGATCGATTTGTCGAGGAATCATTCCCATCCATCCCATAAACTAACATGTACTCACACAACCATCAGCACCAGAGATGATCAAGCGACAGGGATACTCGTATCCTGTGGACATATGGGCATGCGGCGTCATATTGTATATTCTATTGTGTGGACATCCACCATTCCAAGGCAAGAACTCAATGATCATCATGTCGTTGATCATGAGGAATGAGCTAAAGTTCGCGTCGCCAGAGTGGGACAGCATATCGGACTCGGCCAAGGATTTGGTTGGCAAGATGCTCGAGTCGGACCCCGCCAAGCGACTGACGGCCGACCAGGTGCTGGGGCACGAGTGGATGAAGATGGATGCGTTGCTCGAGGGCTCCCCTCAGCTTGGACGCACCTTCCACAAACAACTACGTCGCTACAACTCGCAGCGCTACTTCAAGGCCACTGGCGACACCCTTCTCAAAAGTCAACGCTTCGGAATCTATTCACAGCACGCTGCTGCCGACTCACAACAGAGGAGGTCATTGATACACTTGTAGATGTTTATATTAAATAGAGAGGAGCTCCTCAACCCCACCACCTATTAGTGAGTGTGTTGGTCATCCATCACCATCAGTCCTGCAGACATCGCCATCATCATGTGCCTTTCTCTCTTCTTGGTTGAACAGGTCCAACTCATGGATGAGTTGGCCGTTACTGCTCCTCATGTAATTATGCCTTGCAAGTCTGACGCGCTGGATTGATTTGGAAGCCTCAAGAGGGAGAACCAATGAGTTTGGTTTAGTTTCAATGGAGTCATCTTCAGTGATACCCTGTTGTGGGAAGGATATCTCCACGAGGGTTGAGTTGCACAAAATCTGATTGGGTTTATGGTATGGACAGGGCTGGATAACAAAGCTGTCTACATTGAGGATTGATCATCTCTGGTATTTGGCGTTGAGGAATGCTCAATGGCGATGCTAACGTCTGGCAAATGTACAATGGTGGGGACATCGATGGTGGCCTGGGTATCCACATAAGAATGTTGATGTTGGTGTTGTTCATGATGTTGATGAAGGTGGTGCTCATCCATCAATGTCTCGTTGTTTGATGTATGAGTGTTCTCATCATATACCTGTTGATGTTGATGTTGGTCTTGGACTTGGTGATGATGCTCTTGATGTTGGTGGTGAAGTTGTTCGTGTTCTTGTAATTGTTCTTGATGTTGTAGATCTTGTTGTTGGATGTCTTGTTGGATGTCTTGTTGTTGGGAGTTGATGATAGCATCATACTGGTCTTGTGATGTAATATCGTCTTGATTGGCAGCTGGTGGCCTTGTCTGCATGGTGGAGTGGACTGATTGGAATGGCATCGTTTGGAAGGGCATGGATCTAAATGTTACAAATGGTTGATTGACACGATGTTGTTGTGGTTGTTGATGTTGTTGTTGCATTGGCTGGACCTCCTCAATAATCTCCTCCAGTTGGTTGGTTTGATGTTGTTGATCCTGTGCATCATATTGTTGTTGCTCCATGTGCTGTTCCATATGCTCTTGATGTTGATGTTGTTGCTCCATGTGCTGTTCCATTTGAACATCCACATGTTGCTCTATTTGTTGATGATGCTCTTGTTCTTGATCCTGTWACTACAACATGTACATGTTGTTGTTGTTGATCTTGCTCTTGGGATTGATCCACATCAATATGTATATGTCCTTGAACTTGCTCCTCTTCCTGAACGACATTATGTGTTGTGTGAACCTCCAGTTGGTGGTGTTGATGATGCTGTTGCACTTCATTATCGACTTCAAGTTGCTCCGCATGGCCACCATCTTCCTGGTTTGCAGCTTGATAGTCATTGTTATTGGTGTCGTTGGAGGTTGATGTTGTTGAGCCTCTAGCCTTCTTCCTCCTTGGTTGTCTTGGTGTGATTGTGTTTGTGTTGGCGTTTGTTGTGTTGGCGTTTGTGCTGGTGCTCGTGCTCGTGCTCGTGCTCGTGCTCTTTGCTCGACGTGACAATAGTATATTGTTTCGTCGCATCATCTGTGATATGTAGCCTGGCGTCAAGTGTACATTGAAGTTCTGTATGATATACTGCTGGATGGTGTCCGATGTCACCTCTGGGGGTGGATGTGTGATCACTTGTTGTTCTTGAGGCGGCAGAGTCATATCCGCCTCTGGTTCATTCGGATCTTGCAATATAATAGGTTGTTGTGTAATATCTTGATCTTGTTGTTGTTGTTGTGATTGGTCTAGGACTTGGACTTGTACTTGATATTGGACTTGTTCTTGGCCTGGCGTGCAGGTTGTCATTATCACATCATTATCTTGACCATCTTTGTCTGCGTTATCACCACCATTTCGCTCATCCAATTGCTCTGACAATATTATACCAGGACTTGTGTCATCTCCACCTACTCCAAGTTCAATCGTTTGTTGTTGCTCTTGTTCTTGTTCTCGTGGCTGCTGCTCCTCCTCCACTTGCTGTTGCTCCTCAATGTTATGTTGAGCCAATGAGTCATCGGAGATGGAAGTGGAAGTTGCATTGGCAGTGTCGGTAGTAGTGGTAGTGGAAGTGGTAGTGGTAGTTGTGGTAGTTGAGGTAGTCGTGGAAGTAGTCGTGGAAGTGGCAGGGGATGACGGAGTAGGAGTGGAGGATTGAGAGACAGTGGCTGTTGTGGCGGGTGTGGCGCCGACAGGCGAGGGTGTAGATGGCTGGGTGGGTGTGGATGCGGAGGATGGAGATCTTGTGCCAGACAGCCATTGCAACACATTGTTTTCAATATCGCTGGCAACCTTGCGCTTCCTACCCTGTCTCGCCGCTCTCTGTTGAATAGATTGCCTATCCATCTGTTTCTTGCCCCATCTCCTTATTGTTGTCTCATTGATATTATACTTCCTTGCCACCTGTGATATAGGTGCACCACCATGTACCTCTTGTAAAATCTGTAAAGATAACTCTGCACCAATCGTCATTCTATATATATTCACCCCAAAATTACTAGATTTGGTAATAGTAACAAATATCTAGATCTGATCTGAACTTGTTCACATGAATATATAAGATTACTATATTATTAAGTGTGTGTTGATTGATGTTTGTGATCTTTCCATACATACCTAAGATAGTTATAATCTCTTTGTTGATGTTGAAGTAGGGGATGTGTGTCGAGTGCTTGAATCACCTCGTTCGTGTAAATAAATGCACGGGCATTTAAATTTAATTTTATTTCAGCTCAAGGAAATAGAAATGATTTCAAATGAACTTCGTTGATATTCAAAGTAACGAAACCCACTTTTGAAAAAAATAAATATGAATGTGATCAAACAGACCACCCGACCACTTACTCTTCCTGGTACCTCATTCTCACAATTCACTCACTCATTCATTCACAACATCATCAATCATCACACACGCACTACAGATATAATATAAATATACAATGTCCAAGTTTATCAAGTACATTAAGGAGATGTTCACTCCGACTCACTCGATGGAGTTCTTCCACAAGCCATCCAGCAACTCATTGCTCGACGCTTCCGAGTTGAACGCCACCAGAAGAGCCATCAAGAGAGGTATGATCATTATCAAGATGTGATCAAATGATCAATCAATCAATCAGATCAGAATAACTAACCATATATATCATATAAATTAATATCATCATCATTATTGAATATAAACAGAGGACTTTGGTCATGAGATGCTCACTGGAGCTTTCGGAACTTTGAAGGCCCCAGTTATTGTAGAGTCGATCTTTGACAACAGAACTGTTGGATGTGAGGGTGGTGAGGGTGAGGAGCACGACCTCGTCTTCCACAAGGTCTCCCACAAGAGACCATGCATCTGTTTGGACTGTGGACAGGTGTTCAAGCTCAAGAAGATCAGCTCTGAGAATGAGGTTATGTACTATTAAAGCGAATACTTCCGACCCCCCCGACCCCGGACCCTTAATCGTCTCAGTTGTCATCAACAGGCAACAACAAAGCAGCAATAGCATCAGTAACAGCATCATCATCATCGATCATTGATTAGCCGTACGATAGTAGCAGCCATCAATCAATCAGATAACAGGACACAAATGTTGAACATAAACGATATTATATATACATACACAAACAACATTCTTCCACTCAAGGCAATCAATAATCAATCTCTCAAGCGACATCTATAGGATACTCAATCACTTATCAAGTGAATGATATTTATTGACTGACTGACTGACTGGGGACTACTCCATAAGCATTGCAGTGTGAAGTAGTGATTCTTCTCCTGTCTCATCGATCGGTTGATTGAGAGAGGTTGGCAGGTACCATGTGTAGATGGCTGGCGGTAGACATAGTAAGGACATGATCAAAAAGATGAACCATTCGTTGATGGGGAATGGGTGGCCAGGCGTTAGCGACCAGGCGACGGCGACTGATGCCACAGTGGGTGCGATGGCACGACACAGCGCGACCATCGATTGGCCCAGACCGTTGGCTGCGCCCTTCTTGCGAGAGGTTGCCGCGTTGTTGATCAGTGTCATCACGGGCGTGAACACGAGCTGGCCGGCAAGGTTCCTGAAGGCCAAGAACAGCGTGGTCACCGTCCAGAAGAGGACCCAGTGAGATGTGACGGGGTCGGTCACCTGGGGCACAACATAGTTGAGAATGGGGATTGTCAGGAAGGAGAGGGCGGCCGTCAGACATCCCAAGCGGAACGCCTTGATGATGCCATACTTGCGTCCAATTGGCTTGATCACAAACAGTTGGATAAGGATCACCGTGGCACCACCGATGGCACCACAGATGCCAGTGTCTCGCGACTGGAATGTAAGGCCTCCTTCGTCCTTTGGCGCGATGGCCCAAATAGGGAATGCTTCATCATACATTGTGAATATCATTCCGACTATTGAGTAGAGTATTGTTGTCTCCATGATCTGTTTGTCCTTGAATAAGTTGGTGTCAATGGGCAACTTGAAGCGCTTTCGTGTCTGGATTGTGGCGTCGGTGGTTCCTCTGCTGGGTCCATCACCCTTCTTCCAGAATATGAGCTTTCCTGAGAGGGCTGTGAAGCCATCCTTCATTCTTTGACCATTCGATCGCAATGAGGCATGGAGGTCATCATGGTCCATCTCGTCCCGCGAGTCATCTCCCACGATGACCGCACCCAACCTATCGTTTTGGTTGTTAATTGATCGTTCTTGGGGGATTAACTCTAGTTCGATGGTGGATCTCGAGTGATCAGTACCCTCGCCCTCGCCCTCGACCTCCTCACCAACCATGTTGGTGTTGAAGGCTGGTTCTGAACGAGCAATGATAGTGCCACTCGCGGGTCGCAATGTCTCATTCATGAAGAAGTAGACAAATACGAGTCCGATTGAAGTGAGCACAGCAATGAGCAGGTTGGGCAGCAGGAATGGAAACATCTTTCCAAAGAACACATTATTTCCAAACAATGCAGGCATGTTCTTGGCGGGCTCACTCAGGACTCCACCAAGCATCGGACCAATGATACTTCCAAATCCCCAAGTCAGGCCGATGTATCCAAATGCCTCGATCTGATTAGTCTTGTCAGTGATCTCGCCAATATAAGTCTTGACCACGCCAATATTTCCGTTGAGCACACCATTGATTGTACGCGCTAGGATCAGCATGGGCAGGTTGGCGCTGAGGCCCACGGCCAACACCGAGATGATTGAGCCAGTCGATCCAATGAGCAATATAGGCTTGCGGCCATAGTGATCACTCATCTTGCCCCAGAAGAAGCTGCTGAGGAACTGTGCCAGTGAGAAGGATGATGCGATGAAGCCGGCATAGTAGCCGACCTTGGTCTGATCGGTCGTGATGCCAAAGTGCAAGATCATGAATCCAATGTAGCTGTACAAAGATGTGCTGCCTATTGCCTCGCAGATCAGCAACACGTAAGGTCCAGACAGTTTGCGCCATGGCAAAGGCGTAGACTTTGCCGGTTGTTCGGTCGTAGTATGTATTTCCAGGGTTGCGCCGTCACCCTCCCCACCCCCACTACCACTATCCTTGGACATGTTGTCATTGTGGTCATGGTCATGGTCATGGTCATCCTTGGTGCCTGCTCCACCACTATCATGTAATGATAATGATAATGATCTGTTGGAATGTAATGATTGAGTACTACCTATGATCATTGCCCTTTCATCTTCCTCCTCCTCCTCCTCTTCGTCGTCTTGACCAACATGTTGGGGTAGTATCAAACGATTATCATTTGCTTCTGAATCAATGTCAAGATGGTCGACCATTGTTGTATATATAAATAAATGTATGAATAAGTATTAGTATATGATCTTAGGATTGTATTATTTGTAGATTGTAATAGTATAAGATGAAGTTGATGATATTTTAATGATTGTGATATTTATGATTTTAAGTATCTATCTTGGACATGTCTAGACGTTCTCAAGATGGCAGGCTTGTCATCATCCAATTCCAACAACATCAATCCTTTGCATGTACGAGACGTTCAATTCAAACGAATCATCACTGAACAGTCATTCAAAACATCACAGTTCCCATTAATAATAGGTTTTAAACCAAAAAACAGATATTTTTGTCGTTTTTGGGCCCTGGGCCAAGGTCCACCTCATAATTGGCATCAGACCAAGTCCAAACAGAGAACTAAATAGGAAAACGGCATTCTGAACAACAGAAAGAACGTGTTCTTTGTATAAAGTCCAAAAATGGTCATTGATCGGTCATTGATCTATTGGTATGATGGTGACGATGAATTGGTGACGGTGATGACTATTCTTTACTTTACTTATTTGATTGTTTTGACCTGTAGTGATCATTGATCGTTCGCTCAACTAGTCGCACATAGGATGGATTCATGTGTGTACCATCCATGGCATATTCTTGATTGAAACCATTGCCAGTGGAGTCTAACAACTCATCAAAGAAGTCCAACCATACCAACTCCTTAACCTTCATCACCTTCTCCTTGAATATCTTGTTGAATGCCTTGACCATTGTCCTCGTCTGGTCCAACACTGGTACCACAGGGTGAATATACGCCTTGTAATTATACTTCTGTATCAATACCTTCAGTGCCGCAATATATATATCAATTGTAACTTCGATACCTTCCTCGATAGTCTTGATTGATTGATTTGAATGGGTTAGTGAGTGAGTGGAATGGTTCCATTGAGTGATTGGAAGTACATACATTGTATCGACATTTATCAACAGACACTAGGATACCTTCGCGACAATCAATCTCACCGAATTGGAAGACGATCTCGGAACCTTTGGGAGCGGTACAGGTGACGGCATAGAAATTGAACTTGGGGAAGAACTTGCTGCTCGGTCGAAGATGCCACATCTTCAATCCTGTCGTCAGGAGTGGATGGAATAGACGTGGCTTGCCATCGATTGTGCAAGTGGTCCACGCGGGAACAGTCGAGTGACTGTCTCCAGCGATGTAAATGGGTGGGTAGTTGGGGATGGGCAGCTCCCTGAATGTCATCAGCTGCGAGATGCACATGAAGTAGGCCTGCTCGTTCCTCGTGACGGTGAGATGCAGGTTCCTGTCCTTGCGCAGTGGCTCCAGCGCCGAGATCAGCGCGGGCAGCGGCTCCAGAATGCCCAGCACATAGAGTATCTTGACGATGGTGAACCAGAGTGACATGAGGTCCAGGTCGTCCTTGGTGTAGGGTGCGTCCGTGGGCTGATCGTCTGGTGCCACGTCCAACAGGTTCTTGGGCACTGGGATGGGGCCAGTGTCTGGCATCTTTCGCTTGTAGCTGAGTGACAACAAAGGGTTGTTGAGATAGTCAATGTGTTGCTGCTTGTGCAGTATGGCCAGGATGCTGCCATTCGTGAGCTTGTAGTTGGAGAGACCGCGTGTCTTGTTCGTCTGCAAGAACTTCATGAATACATTGATGGCTTCGGTGTACTTGTTGCACACCTCGAGTCCATGTAGCACGTTGTGTGCGTAGTTGGCGTTGGTCGGGTCCATTTGCAGCGCTTGCTTCATAAAGTCGACCGAGGCCTCGATGGCGCCGTACTCCTTGACCACGGATGACATGAATGCGAGCACGGGCGCAGTGTTGAGCGTGTCCTTCAGCTGCACGAGTATCTGCTGTGCTCCAAACTCACGGGCATAGTCGGCCAGCGCCTCCTTGGTGTAGTTGGCTACTGGGTTGCGATCGCCCGAGTTGCCCATGCGCGACAACAACTGCATCAGCACCAACAATGCATCATTGTGTCGCTTGTTATCGATCAGAACGTAGGCGAAACCAATGAGGCCCTGCAAGTTGCCCTCGTCGGTGTTCTTGACCTCGTTGAGCACCTCGCATGCCTCCTGCTGGTTGGACTGTATCCTCGTGTCGTACATCGCCTTGGCCATGAGTGCGCGCGTCGTCAAATAGTCCTTGTGCTTCTTGCCCATGATATTGGCGGCGAGCTTGAACTGCGCAGCGGCATCCTCAAACTCCTTCACACCGGTAAGGATGTTGCCGTACAGCACGTTGAGCATGTGATCCTTGTCCTTTGAATGATGCTTAATGGCAGACTCAATGAACTTAAGTGCCTTGTCGCATTTCTCGGCCTTGTGATAAATGGTGGCCATTCGCACCAGTGTTGTCTTCTCGGTTGGATGGACTTGCAGCACGTTCTCATAGTATTGCACTGCGCCCCTGTACAACTGTTTGTCGTACAGCTGGTTGCCCTGCTCGAGCAGGTTCAACACAAATGCCTGATACTTTGGATCACAGCCTGTTGATATCGATACAGGCACCTTCTTGTCGGGTGTGCTCGCTGCCGGCGATGATGTTGACGACGATGATGATGTCAAAGTCGATGGGGATTGAGATTGGGAAGGGGACGATGCAGATGACGCAGATGATATCGTCGACGTCGTCTCAGTTTTTGATGTTGACTGTGATGAGATTGATGATGATGTGCTTGCAGCAGTAGCAGCAGGAGCAGGAGCAACAACCTCTGATGACTTTGATGATGTTGCAACATCAGCAACAGGGTCAGGTGTTGGAGTGTTGTTATTCTTCACAACGTATACATCATCCATGTTCTTGATGGCCTTGAGCAAATGAGTAGAGTCAACCAACTTCTTTCCCTTGACATCCTTCAAATCGATTGAATTTGATGTCATCTGATTACTATCTCCATGAACTGATCTGTATTCTTTTACAAAGTACTTTGTTTGGTTGATCGATCGAATGAATGAATGAATGAGTGAGTAAAGTTAGTTAGTTAGTCAGATCAAAGTGACGAGTACAACTCAATCAACTTATCACTCAACTTCACATACATACCAACTTCAAGTCTAGGATGGACTGCAACTGTTGCTGCTGCGACAGAGGTTGAACGATACATGTGTACTCGGGCTGGCCTTCAAAGTGAACGTAGAACTTCATCATGAATGAATCAAAGCAATACTATGCGATGGACAATGTATATGAATATATGTATACAGTTGGTACCAATGAATGAATGAATGAAAGAAGGAATGAATGAATCTGTAATGAATCAAAGTTTGAGATTATTCAAAAAAAATAATAACTGATGGCTGGAGTTGAGTCCCATCTCCTCTTTAGGTAATATATGTGAAGAGAGTTCATGTCATCAGGGTGAAGAAAGTGGCGCGGATCATTCTCATTCTTATCAGTGCACTGACAAAGAGAAGAAAGACAACACGCACAAACAACACATAGAGGAGCAATAAGAATGATCACTACTTTGCCTATTTACATCTTAAGACGCGCACTTTCACATCTTGATAACATTGATATACTTTGTTATCTCCTAGTAAACAGAAGTATATTCTTTCAACTACAGAGTATAGTCCCATCATTGAAGTACTACCGTGACTACGCCACACTATCAAATACCAACTTGAGATCACTTGAGCACTTGACTAACATTCTTAACTCAGATCGACAGCTGGCGACACACTTTACAATTGAGGGCTCTCCACCTCATCATAATAATGCTCATCTGGTCCAGATTCCTTCAATCCCTTCGGGGGTCACAAGTTTGCAAGTGCTGATATATCCTTACCCTCACCATCTCCTTCATGGTGGTATCCCACAGTCAGTCACATATCTATCATCAGTCCATTTGAACCAACCTCTTCAAGTTGGACATATACCACAGTCAGTGACACATCTATCATTACAATATTTCAATCAACTACTTCAAGCTGGACATATACCGCAGTCTGTGACACATCTATCACTCTCATCTTTCAACCAACCACTACAAGCTGGACATATACCGCCTCGATCAACCACTTCAAGCTGGACATATACCAGAGTCAGTGACACAATTAACATTGGTGGATCTCAACCAACCACTTCAAGTTGGACACATTCCACAGTCAGTGACACATCTATAGCTATCATTGACTAGTTTCAATCAACCTCTTCAAGTTGGACATATATACCTCAGTCAGTAATACAGCTTTCATTGGATCGCTTTGATCAAGCAACCACTTCAAGCAGGGCATATACCACAGTCTGTAATGCGCCCAAATGGGCACATTCCACCAATTATATCGCTGTCGATTCAAAACACTCGGTTCTCTCCTGAGAACTTTGGCTTTCTCACACCCGTCTGACCATGAAAGCCAATACAATCACAATTCTCCATAAACCAAGACATCACAATCCATCATCGTTTCTAGAGTTCAATAGTGGTTCTCTTACCAAGATGAACAGACTTGCACACATCATTGTCCAAATCAAGCCAGGCTACACACCAATCAAAATCAGTCAAGTCGCCCCTGTCTCTCTTTTGAACTTGCTCAAATCGACACCAACAATAACTCGGCAATTCTTTGGTATTAGTGGATGTCATGTGTATTTAGAGACCATTTGGAGGCCTCTCGATAATGAGATGGCACTATTTGTGACTGTTAATGAGGCACACGGCGATGGAATCATATCATTTTGGAAGTTCCCAACAACATCAACTGACCTTAGACTCTAACAACGTGTCCATTGTGTATATCGAGCCTCTGATTGGTAAGTAAATATCCTTTGTTTTTCCTTGATATTCTTCTTGTTGTTTCCAAATTGGATGAATGGGATACAAAAAAGACCAAATTTGCCCATCAATAGCGTGAACTGACGGTTAAACTCCTGAGCAGGTTAATTTATATATTTTTAGATGAACAACTTGCTCTGATAATATTATTTTATTATTCCAGCGTTGATAGGGTTTTCAAACTGAACTGAGCCTCAGTCTTTAGCATTACCTATGAGTAAGCATATTGTCGTGTTGAAAACAGATATCCTCAAACCTATCATCCATAGACAAGTAATGGACAAAGGGTTTGAGGATGGACATTGCACACATTGTACACTGTACACCCCACTATCATCTTTCACTAGGACTAAGATAGTATCTTTCACGAGGATCTTAACATCTTTCACGAGGACAATCTATTATCTTTTCGAGGACTAGGAAAAAAGTATCTTTCACTTGGATCTTGACATCTTTCACGAGGACAATCTATCATCTTGGAATTGACTATAATCAATAAAATTGATATCGGCTACTATTCTACTCTGTGAAAAAGGATTGCACAACTATCAATGGGATTATTTGGTAAAGGATCTAACTTAAATCATTGAAACTATTTGAAGAAAGGTTCTAGAACTAATAAGAGTTAACAATTAACAATTAATTAATCAACCAATCATACTTACTATTGGATGGGTCCATTATGATAAAGAATAGTATTTGTATTAACATAATGAATGACTTTCAAAAGGGTACCCTCGAAAGTGTGTTAAGTATTTTTAAAAAACGAGCAGAATCTTCTCTCGAGCTGTTTTGCTAATATTTAAATGTTAATTAAATAAAAATAATTCAAAATCTAGATATAAAAATACAGACAATTTACATTAATGCGTAAAAAGAAAAATGTGATTACATTGAAGTTCGCTAAAATGAGTTTGTGATAAATGGTCCAGAACTTCGAGTCTAAATTAGTTTTGCTTACACTAAATTATAATTGCCCAACTTGATTATCTCAGGTTATAAGATATATTGAACTTAGAACTCGATAAATAAAAAAATTAAATGTCTATTGACTGTTAGTGTTTAAATAATGTTCGTCTTTCCATTCCAGACTGATGACGTTGTGACAGCAATGTTTTTGGAGTTACAGGAATGTAAATAAATAAGTATAATTATAATAATATATAATAATATATTTACATATTTTAAAATTTACATATTTATAAATATTCAGTTTTATCTTGGATCGCTTTCAGCAACTTGTCACATTGATAAAAAGCCATCCATCATTCTGTAATAGGCATATGTTTGTGGCCGCGATCATCTTACAATGGTGACAGTTATCGCAGTTAGCAGCTCTTTGACATAGTCCTGTGGGTGAACACCAGTGAATCAAGTGCAGGAAATATATCAGGACAGGGCATCGATGTAAGTAAACACAACGGAAAAGTGGTTCGACTGATTGATGATAGTAATTCCTAACTTTGCCTCAACAAACAAATATATCATAGAGTTGGTCATCGTTGCTGTCATCATCATAATCGTAGTTGTCAACATGTCACTGTCGGCAACATCTTTGTTTTCGTTGTTTTTGTCATCTTCATCTACAACTCATAGAGTTGGTCATCATTGGTATCATCAATCACATCATCTTCGTTGTTGTCATCATCTTCCGACTCGTGATCATCGCCACTGTCCACCTCATCAACCTGCTTCTGACCTTGGAGTAGATCAACGATGTCCTTAAACATCTCGTCGATTGATGGACACTTGTTCAGAGAGTACTATCATCTGCTACAATCTGGTACATTCTGCTCAATGCCAATTCCATTGGATCACTGATGACATACAGTATCCTCTCGCTTGTGAGTATCTGTTTTGACGACAGGTTACCTTTGCAATGGCTGAATGAAGTACAAAGAGCAAATCAATCAATCATCGACAATAACACCAACATCATTCAATCATCAAATGTATATGCTTACTTCAAGTATCTATTGATCTCGTTGCAATCAATCGATTGTATCTCTCAGTCAACCTGCTGCTTCCTCCTGTGTCGACTTGTAAGTATGTGCAACTTCATTTGATTGGTATCATGTGAACTATAGTTGTCTATAGTTGTAAGAGATAATATATGTTGGTCAATAACAAAGAATGTGAATGACCAAACATATGTGCATGAGTAATCATATATACTACATGATTACTCTATCCTCACAACCATAGTATGTGTTGTTGTTGCTCTCCATGATCTGTGTGAATGAGTGCTGGACCAGTGGGCCTCATGAACCTGATCATGAGTGCATCGCATATATATGTTCATATGTATAATGAGTTACTCTAAAATAAGGTATGGTCCATGATAGTAGAGGCCATGCTTAAGTAAGTATATATGTATACATATGTATATGTGTGTAACTGTATAAGTATATAAGTGTGTTGAATGAATGAATGAATGAATGCATCAAACGAATGATGATTCATATTAAAGTGTGAACGTGGTGACCAATGAGTGAACCAGTGTGAACAGAGAGTAGGGGTAACCAGATAATGTTGTAGATATGTAGGCAAAGGTATGAAGCATGGGGCCATGCGTCAACATATCATCTATCCACCAGCATCAATCAATCAATCCACACATGGGCGACCAATAACTTACTATGATTCATCCACTTTAGATGCTCGACTCCACTCTGGATAGAATGTCTCCATAATGTATCATTATTGTTCAGGTGCTCCGTTGCAGTGGATCTTGATTTCGATGAATGTCAATGGTTGAATTTACTGATGTCATTGCTGATGTAGTCCACTTGGCGATATCGTTGGTCAAGAACAATGGCAAGTTCATGTCATGTTTGAGGATGCTGCCCTCTATGGTAGATGCAAGGAGGAGCTAGTGGACCATCTTAAGAACAATGGGGATAACACTGCTGACAAAAAGAATGCCGTGGAGGATCGAGAGGCATTCTTGAAGACGACCTACTCCCATGAAGAGGTAATCAAGATGCTGGACATGATGCCATCAATGTGTTCGGTCTTCAATCAATCAATCAATCAATCAATCAATCAATCAATCAATCAATCAATCAATCAATCAATCAATCAATCAATCAATCAATCAATCAATCAATCAATCAATCAATCAATCAACTTTGTTAGCTTTAAAGACATGATAAATAACAACAACGTCACACTTGCAATGACTTACCTTGCAGCAATTACTTTTAAACCTGTCAAGGTCCTGTCGTAGCATCCAGCTCCGCGCAGAGTGATTCATTGGTTTCACTGCCTTGGAACATAATGAATTGGTGAGTATCGAATGGACTAGACAGTACAGACATAGTCTTTCCAGTGATCAACTGATACACTCCTGAAGGAGAACGACTATGTATGTATATATATGTATATATATGTAATATGACTCTTATAAACAGTCTTGTGTTATTACAAATGAGATAAAACGTCATATGACAGGGTTCAAAAGTAGGTCCAACTCTCCATTTAATACCAGAAAACAAGAACAACTGTTTACGCAAGCGTGTGAGACCAACCTCGTGGTCTGATCACTTTCATTGTATTATCTGTTTTTATATCTCCATCTAACTCTTGGTTAATAATAATACCGTCTTCAATATTGTTTGTTATCTCTTTTTGGTTACTGCTATTTCTTCTTCTTATTCCTCTAAGTCATCTGAATCCGGTTTCTTTCTCTTTAAGGATGCCTCTGGTATTGGTAGAGACTCATAGAAATTGTAGATCTGATCAATACTCTTAGGCTTGCTAAATGGTCCAGTGCTCTTAGGTCTAAATGCCCCAGACGGGTCATAAAGTGGTGAGAGGTCCTCATGGCGAAAAAAGTAGATAATCATCTTCTTTCTGTAGTGTCGCTCGAAGAATAGCACAGGGTTGACATCATTATCGGATTGCATTGAGAATTCACGGTTGTTTTTCTTCATCCTGTAGACCTGCAAAATATTCACAAGACTCTCAGTTACCTGGCCATAGTGGTCTCTTTGAGATGCAATGTCTGCGTCAAGATCGATGTCCATGTAGATTCCAGCATTCTTGGGCAGCTGGACACGTGGGATGTCATCGGCTGATGATGATGATGATGTCAGGTAATGTCGTATAATCCAAAGCACCAGTTCCATTGAGTATAGCGTTGCAGGACCACAGTTGTATAAGTTGTTTGGGACTGGCCAACATGAGAGTGGATATCCTTTGACTTGCGAGTCATCAATGCCCATATATTTGTAGACCTCTGGGGGTATGTGCATGTTCTTTGTGCCTATTGTGTCCATTGTGTCCATGTGAATGTATGCCTGTGCCAGTTTGTGGGATGATACCACCAGGAGAAGTGACCAATGACAGCCTAGTTCGATGGGTAGGAGGTGAATCTCAACCTCTTTTCCATAGCTGACCACTGAGTTTGGATGATCTTTGAGCATTGCCAATGTATGTGTGTCGTGTATGCGAACCGGGAAGGTCGAAGGAGATTCACAGTATGACTTGGTATTGACCCACGGTAAGAAAATGTCATAGTGAAATCTTTGTGCAAAGTATGCCATGACTTTCTGGTCAAGCCAACCAGAACGGTCATTGCCGCCAGGTTTAGAACATAGGATCCCCTTAAATGAATGAAGATTGACTCGAACATTGTTTGGATCTGTACCACGGGCAATGCGGAGGTGTTCAATATAGGATGGCAGTGTTGGTGTCACTTGGGGAAGCGTGGATATGGGCGCAGTAGTTGCTGTGGATGAGGGAACGGGCACTTGCATAGACATTGACTCTGTGATGTGGGGATGAGTCGCAGATGAATGAGCGAGAATAGAATGAGCCGTTGATGGAGGTATATGGTCGTCGCAGATTGGTGCATCATGAGTAGACTTCTTGGAGGCGTCGTCATTGGTGGACTCCTTGTTTACTACTTCATTTACATCTTTGTTGTTGTTGTTGTTGTTGTTGTTGTTGTTGTTGTTGTTGTTGTTGTTCATGGCTGAAAGAAAGAGATATATTATATAACTTCAAAATTGTGTATGTAGGTTTTCAATGAGGATAATATGAGGACAATAAAGAACAAAATTAATCATCATAATATAACATTTCTCAACCCACGCCACAACATTTTCCAAACCCAATTGGGTCGAATCGTGCACGACCTTTGGACTTAAAGTGTTTTGAGCCCAAGTCAATCAAGAAAAGTACAGATAATAACCTCTCAATTATGACTTTGATTGTAATATATATGTTTAATAATCTTTTTGTCTTTTCTTAGGCCTATCATTCGATAGCTTGAGAGTTGGGCTTTCTATATCTTGAGTTGTAGGGTAGTTGGTTGATGTTGAATCAAACAAAGTGGGGTCGCCAGATGGTGATCTCGGCTGAGCTGATCGCTCAATTGATGCAGTGGAGAGTCTGTCTGGTCCTGCAGGTACAGTGGGTGGGTCTAATGGTATGGCTGGATTGGCTGGTGCACTTGGGACATTCTTTTTTTGGTCTTCCTCTCTTCTTCTTCTCTGTTGGTGGTGTAGGGAAGACTAGGAGGAGTCGAGGTGTCGCACTGCAGCGCAACGGATGTTGTAACATTAAGGCGGTCTCCAACGATGTGTTGATTGTCCAAACAATATGCTGTTATCTTGTCCGTCAACTCGCTTCTCTGGCACTGAGTGAGTGCTTGTCGTGCAAAGTTGGTTGCAAAGAGCTGACCAAAGGGTTCCAACACACCATGGCGATATGCTTGCAATAGTTTCCTCGATATCCACTCTTTCCGAGAGTAAATGATGGGCAATCGCATGTGATCTGACTCTCCAATCTGATGTTGTAGCAACGCCTCTGTGAATGTGACATGCTGGAGATGGTAACACTGGTCTTCTGATTGTTGATCTGCATGATCTCCATCAACTTGTTCTTCTTGGCATAGGCAGTCAACGACAACACTACTACCACTGCTGTTGCTGGGGACATATGACCCATGTGTCTTGAGTATGAGTATAGCGGTGAGCCTAATCTTATCGGCGATGGTGGTAGGGCATTTATAGTGTTCATCATCCTTCTGGGTCGAGACGGAACATCGCTTTATAGGCCCACAGAGCATTGTCATCATCCGCTCCCGATAGTCCAAAGCCCCTGCTGTAAGACTTTAGTGTATAGTTATGGCGTGGATAGTAATAATATAGACAGATAATAGGGGGTAAGGGTAATTGTTGTCCAGTCGTGACTAACAGTCCCGGGTATTTATTGTGTACGGTCATCCATGAGCGTACGTGTGATTAGTGTAGTCGGTTGTCTCCGCTATCATGATGACCCTCGCCATTATGATGGAGACTCACGCCATATATACAGTCTTGGCTTTGGAACACAATTCTATTAGATGCCAGCTCGGCGCGTGTCATCTATCCATATATATATAATTGTGTAAGCCCAACACTGCTCCTCTTAATGAAAGACCCCCCCATCCAGTGATGTATTTGTCTTGTTCATTAATTGCAGTGATTGATCCAGTTGATCATTGTGAAGTTCCTTGTAGTCGTTGGTTGAAGTTAGTGATATCTGTGGCATAGAATTGGCTAACAACTTGGTTGCGCAACCATCCTCTTGATCGTGAGACTTGGAATAGGTATTCCACTCGAATACCTGAAGTGAGATGTATTGTCCTCTTGGCCAGTATTCTGAACAGATCAGAATGGACTCCTCTCAATGAATACTTCAGTATCTTCTGAATCAGCGTTGAGGCCACAGTATTGGCACAGTCAGAATACTCAGCGGATTCCTCGTACTTTATGAGATTGTCCAGGTGTTTCCAGTATGGCACCTTGTTATCAATATACTCGACAGCAGTTTTGTACAGTTGTAGTCTCTTGACCTTGGATGGAATTCTCAGTGGTTCATCCTTCTTCTTCTCCTTCTCTTTAGGACCAACGACAACGTCATGGTTATCTTCATCCTGGTACTCCAAAGTTGATTCCGGTGAACTTGGAGGTGATTGGTCCGGTGATCCAATCGGTTCATCAGTGTTTGATGTGTGATCATGATCATCAGCATCATCATTCTCGTTCTCTGTGTCGTCGTCTGATTCGCTCATTTGATCGACATTGTCCTCATCTTGTTCATCTTCAAGATCATTCAGTGATCTTGGAACAGCCTTTTGAGTAGAGCAGCATGTACAGTCTTCTCGATCGCTGGATCGACAGTGTCATCAAGGAAGGTGATGTTGTTGTTGTTTACTCTAACAACCAAATATGGGCCAGTGTAGACCGCGTCCAACTTCTTTGAACGTTCGTGGTCGTGCAAACGACGGAACACATAATCACCAGGGTGAATGTTCGTCGGCCTCTTCCTTGAGTCATAATACTTCTTCATGTTTTTACTTGCCAACAGAAGGTGATCACGCACAATCTTCATTGTTTTGTTCCATTCATTCAAATGTACAGATACAGTTTTCGGTGTTGTATCCGAAGTTGAAACAGTCAGTGGTTCGGCATCTCTGTTAAACATGATACGGTAAGGCGTCATACCAGTAGACGTTGACAGTGTGTTATTGATGGCATATTGGATCAGTGGCAAACACACGAACCAGTTCTTACGTATGTCGGTCATGCTATCGTCGAGGTCAATCTCCTCCAGGATCCCAGTTGGATCATCATGCAAGTACCTTGCTAACAACTCACGTTGCAACAACATCTTGCGCAGGACGTTCTTTACCAGTCGTACTCTGATCTCAGAGTGGCCATTAGGGTTGTGGCGATACGGTAGACTCATGTGTATCTCGACCTTCTTAGCCTTCATGTATTCAACGAAGACATGAGCTGTGAACAATGGATCGTTATCAGTTACGATCTCACTTGGTCGTGGAAAAGTGCAGAACATCTCTTGTAACAGATCAATGATGTCCATGCTCTTCGCACCCTTGATCAATGGCTTCAACCATGTGAATTTGGAGAATCGATCGGACACCAACAGTATTCCGTCATACTCTACACCAGTTTTAGTAGTATGAGTGGACAGCTTTGGAATTATATCCATGGTGATTGATTCAAACACATATTGTGGAATGGTTAGGGGCTCCAGCAAGCCCATCGTCCTCGGTGGATGGTCACTGCACAGCTTGCAAATGACACATGACTGTACGTAGTTGAGGATGTCAGCGTTCATCGTCAGCCAGTAGTATCTACGTTTAATCTTCTCGCTCGTTCTCTTGTGATCAAAGTGTCCTCCTAGCCAGTGATCATGGTGGATGGATATCACTTTGCGAATGACCTTCTTCACACGTGGAACAATCAGCTTGTTCTCACTCGTCAGGCGCAAGCCTCTGGTATCGACGGTGTAAGGTGTCTGATCACGGTGCAACGTTTTCTCGTTGACTAACTTGTCCTCTATCTCGTAGCCAGCTAGTATCAGTGGAATGATGGTATCATCATCAAAGGCGTGGAGCATATTCAGTTCGGACAATTCCTCTATACTGCGAGCGGAAGCGGTGGCAGCAGCAACAGTTGCTGTGTTGGTCACATTATCGACAGATGCGATATGTTTGGCGAGTACAGGTTCATCTGGCATGGGGATGTCATCATCCACATCAATCGATTTGTTTGATCGGACGCGCTCCATCAACTCTTTGACATCAATTGATCGACTGCATGCATCAGCATAGATGTTGGACGAGCCTTTGATGTACTCCAGTTTGGGATTGTACTTACTTAGGATCTGTATCCATCGAGTAATACGATCACTGATCGGATATTTACATTGCTCATACAGGAATACAATGTTGCGGTGATCACAGTTGATCGTGATTGGATAACCAAACAATAAATAATGATTATCAATCAGAGCAGTTACTGCAGCTAGCATCTCGCGCTCAAGCACAGTGTAGCGAAGTTGACTGTCGTTGAATCGCTTAGACCCATACAGAATGTGTCGTCGCTCTCCATCATCACCCAGTTGGTAGATCACATAGCCAATCGCACCTTTGCTTGCGTCACTGTCGCATATGAATGGACGATC